TACCTTTAATCTCACTATAAAATGAATCCTTAATCACGTGAGTCGTGGATAAAACTCGGAATACGAAGCGTATGCTGCTAGCGCGTCGAGCGAAAATAATTGAATGTACATTGTCGGGAAACTGTTTAAACCAAATGAACAGAGCGTCTTGAAGTGTATATTTATATGTACACTGATAGAAAACATTACAGTAATGCCAATGCCGTTGAAATTCATATACCGCATAAAAAAAAATCGCACAAAAATAAAATCGCACAAAACAAATCGCATAAAAATAAAATCGCATAAAAAAGGACCGCACAAAAACAGGTTTTACTGTATATACGAAAAATATTCGATTTTTGACACTCTCCCATATGTTAGATGTACTGCAAAATAAGGGATTCCAAATGGCGCTGGTTGATACTTATAATTCCTCAAATACGGTTCTTTTCTTCATATTAGGGTTTGTTGCAATAATTTTATAAAAACGTTTGTTTGGAAACGTTGAGTTTACGTTAAAAATTGTGAAACTTAGGACCATATAAGAAACTGGTTTCTGTAAAATATGCACGAGTATCACATTAAATGATTATGTTAATTAATAATCATATTGTTAATCGTATTTGTTAGTACTCAATACTTTTTTACTATAAATGTTACGTTCATGCTATAGCTGTAACAAAATAATTCTACATTACTCAAATATATAACATATATGTATATAACATTAATTAAACTTGTTGAAATACCATTTTTAAGGATTTTTTGAATTAATTGATTTATTATTAAGGAATTAATCAATTACTTTGCAAATTTTTACTACTACCAAATTTGTTACACCTTTTTTATGACAAGTAAACTCTTAAATGAGTAGAAATCAGGTTATTTACCTTATTTCTTGTTGATAAGACTACGTGGCACGTTGAATAATGACTTCTATGTGTAAGAATACATTTTTCAACTCTATGGATTACATTTTTGGTTAGGGTCCCAGATAGCACATGACGCCTTAAAGACGTCCATTTTATAGCCATTTTAGGACTGAACGACTGAATCTCCTGATTGGTAACAAAGGCCCCATTAATACGCATTCTGGGCGTCTTGAAGACGAATTCTAGACCGGAAAATAGTTGACGCCGAATGTAAACGTATCTTAACGATTTATATCTCAAAAAATTGCTTCCAATTTGCTCCTTCCGAATCTAAAATTGCTCCCACAGCACCGTTAATAGTTAATAAGATATTCGCAAAAGAAAAAGCAAAAATTTGTTCTTAAGAAAATAGGTAGTAAATGGCCTTTTTACACAAATATTATGGCACCAAAAAATTGCTCCTGATCTGCTTTATAATAATCAATAGTCAGATATTTCAATAACAACGTATTAACGAGGAGCAAACGAAATATTGTTGTTGTTGCATAGAGGTTAGGTAATACGTCATATGTATGGTAGGCGCTCGTTTATTGCAGTCTTCGGGGTTATAGAGGGCCAGAATTCCAGGAATATTGCCATATACATACATACATACTTTAAGATACATATATACATTTATTTATATATATGTATATATATATATATATAACTACCTTCGCCTTAAAAGTCCGCTGTAACATAGAACATGCTGTTACGAAATAAATGTAAAGTTCGCAGCCATTAGCTCGATATTATCTTCGTTTTACAATACTTTACCGAAGACAATACCGATTGCCCGGGCCTCACCACGAGGAGGTTGCTGCGAGTGGAGGCCCAAGACAGATAGATGGAATCTCAAGTTCCGCATCTATCCACCTTTCACAATAAACCTTATCAATAACTTAAAGCTTAATTATCTAATACTATCGGTACTAAAATCCCTCGGCGGATGACTTCTTTCTTGAGCCTAAACCTATAAAAAACTAAGTTCCCTCGTCGGTTGTCTTCGTTTTTCAGCTTAGAACTAATATTATCTTAATATTCTAATATTGACTCTACTATTGACTATAGCCTTAATACACTAATGCTATTAGTACGAAATAACTTATTGAATGGAAATAATGATGGAATGAAAAAAGTTCCATCGATCATTTTGTTTACGCACTTATTCTATGTACCTAGCAGTTAGTAAGTCTATGATGAACTATGTTAAACTACATTATTTATTATTGGTCTTCATATGAAGATTTCTGAAACAAACTCTGTAAGATTAGAACAAGACATTATTATTGGTCTTCATATGTGATGGCTTCATACGATGATTTCTGAAACAGATCCTGAAAGATTAGAACGAGACATTATTATTAGCTGTGGATACTTCAGTTTGAAGTTTGAATCCACGATGATTCCTGAAACAGAAAGTCAAAGAAATTTGATAATACGACGATCCCTGAAACAGAAGTTCAAAAGATCACAACAAAACATATTAATGGACATTTCATTATGAATAAGTTTGAATAATAATTGCAATAACAATTTCAATAACAACATGTAATACGCATAAAAGTATATAGATATATTTTTATACATATTTTAATTCGATAATAGATATTCAAAGTATATATCACAATAAAACATGGTTACGGACATTTCCTTTGCATAAATTTCAATAAGAATATCAATAACAACATATACATAATAAGAGTAAATAATATAATAACATGGTTTTATAGACATTTTATTTCGGTGGAGTTGAAATTTGATCCCACGACGATACCTAATCTGAAACAGAAAACTCAAGGTATTATCTTCTCATGTTGACAAACTTGTGTTCATTGTTGGATTTTCTGTAGATAACCTGAAACAAACTAATTCATTGGATAAGAAGCTGAAAAGGAAACGGGTTAGTACACACAAAATATTAAGAATATCAGTCTTTTTTATCGAAAAAAATGAATTTACTAGAACGATAGACTCGACTATTAAGCATATTTAAGCATAAAATGGATTATGTCTCTGTGCAAAGTTAAAACAAGAATAGATTTTATCGCCACTCTATTAGTTCATTTGTAATATGCAAGAATCAATATTTAACATAATAAAAGCATTTAAATCGAAATAATCATAATTTACTGTATCGAAATTGAAATTGTATTCGTGTAGAGATAGTAATAACGAATTAACGGCGACTCTACTTGAAAAGTTGCTCTCAATATGAAGTATCATATTTGCATTTGCATATTTTTTCAGCTACAAGCTTTTCATTAATTGTCAAGTTTAGCAACAATCGCGAAGAAACTGTGATTTTTGCGGAGAGATTCAAAACATTTACAAAAATGTACACTATTTTGATATCAATATTGTATGCAAGTAACGTATTACGATTGAGTAATTAATCTACTAACACCTCTAACAACAAATAGTCATGCCTACTTCAAAAGACTCTAATTAAACTTTAATCTCAAATTGACTTTAATTTTCATTATTCTTGTGTCAAATGTCAGTAATTAATAAAATCTTCAATCTAAATATATAATCTTCAATGTGTATGTAGCAGATATTAGTGGTTCAAGAAATTACAAAAAAATGATTCTGTTATTGATAAAAAAATTGAACACTTCTTTTAGCAAAATAAATACTTTTTTCAGTAATATTTCAACGCAAACACTTGGCAAATGATACAGAAACAGAAAAATAGCAGCCACAATAGGGCGCTGAATCTGTCCACTCTTTACATTTCAGTTTATTAAAAGGAGAACCCGTGAGTGGACAGTTATATTATATTTCTTTACGCAACACTAAATAATTGAATATAATATGAAAAA